AGGGAGCAAAGCTACAAAACCCATTTCCCATCTAAAGACAGAAGGATGTACATTGGGAGTCCGAGGAGCGTGCTGCAAAACACCCCGCGATGCAAAAAGCGCTCCAAGGCTACCACCGGCTCCACGAAGGATCCTGCGGCAAGATAGCCCCGGGATCGTGCTGAGACTCAGACTTCAGCCGAGAGGCCTGAACTCAGGGGGGTTCGGGTCATCTCCCAAAGAGACATCGCCAGCGGTCTCCTTGTCTCATCAAATGGAGGGTCATGCAATATGTATATATAACTATATAACTTAGCAATCAATCAATCAATCAATCAATCAATCAATCAATCAATCAATCAATCAATCAGTCCTATTCAATTATAAGTTAAGGCAAGTGTCATTCCACGTCGGCACGCCAGCCACATCCGACAAGCATGTGCTATCCTAAGATCACAACGACACGCACTGTCTTCCTCGCAGAGCATCGCACGAGAGCCTGCAGAATCCATCGTGGCTCAGGACGAAACGATCGCTGTGCCGGTCGTCAGCTCCGAGCTTTTGGCCTTGGAATTTCGGAATCGAAACCCGATGATGGCATCCGAGTACTTGGGAGTTTCCGAAAATGGGGGACCCTAGTGTAGCACCCTAAATAGTAGGATCCTTATTCTAAGGACCCCAAAATATGGTACCCCTAATTTCGGAAACCCCCACTTCAGGTTACAGCCCGCTCCAACGTGGAAGGCATGAGACCTGAGAAGCCTTGGGCAAGCACAAGCAGAAGTCGCACGGAGCTCTCCGTGCCAATTCGAAGAGAGACCTGCAGGATTCTCCGGCTCGTGGCTGCAACGACTATCGATTTGAAGCAGCCGGTGGCGCTCATTCTCCCTTGAAGCTATGCGTCTCAAGTATGCAGAAGCACGGTCGGCCCAATGGGAACTAGACAACGCGTCGGCCGGGGCAGACCCAGGTTTGCAGCAGGGAGGACTCATTTTGGCCCTGGCCTTGGCCTTGGCTTTGGCCTTTGCTTTGTTGGTTTGTTTCGACCTTGTGGGCCTTTCCATGCCGCCTTCGGCTCGGGTGCCGCCTTCCCCCCCCCCACTCGGAGCCCTTTCAGGCAGCATCGCTTGACGCGTCTCCGATGCCTTACGCAGCCTCGAGCGGCCCTTTAGCAGGTGTGATTCATGATCCTGTCCTTCCTAGTCTGGATTCAATACATATCGTAGAAAGACACGGGGACGCGCAGATTGGGGACGAAACTGAAGCTGCTCTCAAGCAAAGCTGCAGCCGTTCCAAGCTAAGCAGACCATGCGAACACTGTCCAGCTGCAAAGTTGCAATCCAAGATTAATTGCGGGCTCTTGGGCACTGGCTGCGGCCCCTCCAACATCCAGCACTGCGGCAGAAACATGTGGATACCTGGCCGGCGGAGTCCGTGGCGTTGCTTCCGTGCATGAAATCTTGAAAGTCACGCCTCCCGCCTGACATCTAGAAGCCCATTCCGCAGCGTGGCGAAAAGCTTTGGTGCCCGAAAGTACTCCAGCTGCACCAAGCCAAGCTGCCCCACCTGTTGCTGCCCAACACAACAGTTGCGGAGGCTGATACAAATCGAGAAGAGAGGGGCCAGGATTGTCAGGTCTGCGCAAGAAAGAACAGAGCAGAACTCGAAGAGCAGCGTCAGTGCGCAGAGACAGTGTGGTAGCGTCTTCAGGAGCTGCGGGCCCAAGATCAAGCTTTACGTAAGCTCCGCACCACCGAGAAGTTCTCACCTGAGCTCAAGTGAGCTCAAGACGCACACAGGCTCCACTACGCACTACCCCCCTATGCTCGCCCTTTGCTACCGAAGCCACCAAAAACGCTGCTGTTGGCACCGGCCACCAGCAGTGAGCTTCTGTCCCCGGGCAAGAGGTGGACCGAAGTGAAGGAGAGATTGGCCTGGGCCCAGACTTTCGAGTGCTCAGTCTTTTTGAGGCTGGCCTGTGCAGACAAGCATCTTCAGAGCCCACCTGCCTGAGATGCTTTTCGATGGAATTGCAAGCTGCAGGTACCGAAAGGGAGGCATGCTCCTGCTTTCTTCATCTTTCTGCGAGTTGCAAGTGAGCCAACACCTGGAATCCTGGCTCCGAGGCAGGTCCAAGGCAGCTCACCAGGAGACAGCTGCCGGTGTCCACGAGAGACACCTGGCCGGTGCGGGATGGCTGCACCCTGCCATGCCCTTTCTCAACGCTTCGACTCTTAACTTCGATCATATGCTACCTTCTTTGATCGCAAGCTGTGCCTTGGTGGAGGCTCCACCGAAGAACGAATCCTGCCCAATCGTCCGGTCGGCTAGACGCACGGACCTCACAGTACCGAGAATCGTCACTTACAAACAAATTGCGAAAACTCAATCCATGCAACAAAGTCACGAGCCATGAACCACGGAGATCTGCATGACGCAAGCTGTCAGCTCGATGCGCAGATGCGAAGAGCTTGTGATTGTGTCTGAAGCCTAGCAGGGCAGCTTGGGGCCGTTCCAGGGGCTGAACCCTTGCAGAAGCAAAGTCAGAATTGACTTTGATGCCGTGCATGCGCAGAGTGAGAATGAATACAGTAGTCGCAGTCGCAGTGTTCAGCCCCGTCACCTGGTACAAAGCTTGCAGCTCACCGGCGCTGCCCATCAGCATTAGCCGCTGTATGACCTCACTTCATCGGCAAAGAGTCCCAGGCCCTTGGGGTCCCTGCTAGAGCTCTGATGACAAGAAGCTTGTTCAACACCATTTCGAAAATAGACCAGCGGCGAATGCCATGGCCAGGCTGTAAAGCACGACCGTCAGCAGCAACTTCCTTCAGAATACACTTCCCAAGTCACTGGAGACGCAGGTTTCAAGATGTTCCAACTTGTTTGCCTTGCGTTTTAACCTACGTGTTCAGAGCTTCGCCAGAATCGGCCGCTCGCATCTCCAAAAGCTCCTGCTCACGCTGTCACTGAAAGGGCTTATTACTAGCATCATTTCGATTAGTACTACTACTTTTATTTCAATTGTTTCTGTTATTACAATGACTATGAGTATGATTGTTTTTGGGCCCCGGCCAGATCATCTCCACCAGCGGGGGCGGCTGCAGCACCAGGTCAAAGAGACCCCGCCAGGCCCTGCGCCAAGTGCCGAACTGCGAATGGACCGGAACAACGCAGTATCAAGTGCGGGGGCTAACGGAGGTCCCATGGTTCGTGGTCACTTGAGACCAGGGATGGAGTTGAGGGCAAGTTACAAACATGCTTGTTTTGAGCTGCCGCGGAAATCCGCTAAAAGCCGGGGAGCGCCTTCCGAGGCAAGTTTTGGGGGCAGCCTTGGCCTTGGCTATGCCCATGACTCCATGACTCTGCAACCCTCTCACCAAAAAGAAGCAGTTTGGATTCTGGATCTTTGCCGAAGAGCGGCCGCCCTTTTTTTCTGCCTCACGCGGGCACGAGCACAGAGCATCCAGACTGACATGAAAGCAGAACTTCGGATCAGCGCCGCGCTTCGGATCACCAGGCCGCTTCTCCTTGCCAGGGCTTCGCTCAACAGGTGACTTAGCATTCGATCTGCGAAGATAGTATAGTATAGTTTATGAATAGTACCATTATAGTACACTACATCAATTTTTTGTATAGGATATGAAAGGTAGTATACTATAGGGCAGCAGGCCTCAGCTTTGCTTGTGGCGGCGGTTTTGCTCTTCTCCAGCTCCTGACATCAGAGTCGAGGAATTCGAAGCCGAAAGAAGTATCCAGAAAGAAAAGCTACAGTCTGGTTCTCAGTTGGGAATACAGGAATGGATTATGAAAAATATTATTGGGGATTGTATGGGGACTACTACAGCGATCCATTCCCCCATTCCAAGCACCAGACAGGCTGCCTCGCCCTAGAAGCTTCGGTGATCTTCAATGCTCCACATCCCGGCGTTTCTCAATAACCGCACAGGCAAAGCCAGTAGGGTTCTCTGAAACCAAGGGTTGCCTACTGTGACACATACAATGGCTTTCCCGGCCTTGTCATGCTGTTGAGAACACACTAGTTCGAGACGGATGCTAAACGTGAGACAACGCCGTGCAGCTAGCCGCTCAAACACAACCATGCTGGCTACTCGCACTGACCTGCTCAAGCATGCAGAGAGCTTGCGGATGTTTGTGAAGGCGGGCTGGGTGGGCCTGCTGTCTGACAGCATTGACGACGTCAGCTTCGTCGGCCTTGCATGATACGCAGGAAAATGAAAGTACAGATGGTGACCCCTCGCTGCTAAAATCCAAAAGCCAGAGATGGACAGACCACACGCACGGGGAATGCACACGATCGATGGCAAACCACAGTAATACCAACTCAACATCCTCGAAAGTTCAAGCACCACATCCTCGGGACCTATCAGGTTCCGTATCAGCCCATGGGATTCATGAAAGCACGTGCTGGGCGCCTCTCCGTCTCCAGACTCTTCATCACTCTGGCTCCTGAAGTACATGGGCTACTTTGCACAGCATTTCGTCCCCTTTCTCGGTTTGGGAACTGCAGTGTCCCGTTCTGTAGGTTTGCCGGTCAAAGTCCAGTAAAATCTTGCGACTCAGTGGCAGCGGCACCACAGGCGCACCTCAAGTCAAGTAGAATTTGAACACCCTCACTGATCCTCTAACCCTCAAAAACAAGGCATGCTGAGGATGATTCTGCCCATGCGCGCAGCATTCTGGGTTTTCCATGGCATACACCACGGAAACGAAAATGGCAACCACTCCACAGCTGCATGGGGGGGTTATACTACAGCTTGGGATAGCAACGTCTCAAGCCCGCACACAAGCTTTGCAAACGGCTTCACGAACTTACCTCAAGGTTGCACTTCGACTCATTACTGTAACTGTCTTGACCCTTCAGCCAATGGCTCCATGACCATGCTCTTTGCTGCGGTGAAGTTTACAACTCTTGCTCGGAGCACTCGACAAAGCTTCTCCCGAGTCGTGAAAGCATTGGCTCTCCCCGTACATCGACGGTCGCCGCCATCGTTTCCGCCCGCCTCCCAGCAGCCCAGGTAAAGATCGAAGCGCTCCACCGAGTACAAGGGCTGGTCCTGGTGCTTTGGCAGCATGGTAAGTGCCTCCGTAAGAGTACCATTGCAAGCTCCTGTGAATTGGAAGGCTCTTGCTTGTGGCTCACCCAGCGGGGTCTCAGGACATCTCGAAGACAGTCGGGTACGTTCCAGGGCACACGGTCAATTGCTCCGCTTGCAATCCGCAGGTCCCACAAAACGTGTGGTGTTTCCGGGCTCCTCGAGACCATGGCCACCCGCCACATAGAGCTTGCCCGCTACCCTTGCAGTGAAAGGCTGTCACTCACTCCATGAAGTACAATCAGCTGCGGTGGTCGTCATTCACATGCTTCCAGGTCGCGCAGACATAGCATGGGCTGCTCGCGGGGTGGGCAAGCACGGCAGCCTCCGCCACCTTTGCGTCTCATTCGCAACCATTGCATAAGACCATCTGACTATGTCTGATGCACAGGTTGCGATCTGAGTTTAGGACCCCCTCTCGCCTAAGGCGAGACATTCCACACTGGAAAGCACCTCCCAAAAGAAGCCTCTTCTGGAAAGCCAATGCAACACCGAGGACCGAGTTTTTGCTGAGCCTTCTCGCCGCGGCCGTAGCCCCCAGCCACGAAGGCTGCGCCTTCTGTGAATGCTGCCGCCGATGCCATGAAGGCTGCCGCTGATGCCCACCGCGCCGTGCCCATCCTCAAACCAGCCAATGGCGAGCCATGCGTCTTGCACGAAATCGGCGCTCAAGGCATGAATTTAATCAAACAAACCTCCAACAGACTGCTTGCACCTGCCGCTGGGATCCAGGCGGCGGCAGTGGAATCCAGCGTCGCAGCGATGGCTGGAAGAACTCCACGGAGTCGAGGCAGTCGAGGTTTGCTTCCTCGGTGCACAGCGAAAATGACAGGCCTCTCGGACCTTCGGCGCTTGCAAAGTCCAAGAGGGCGACATCCCGATCGCCGCCAGCCACGCAAACTCCTTGCCAGGCACTGGTGGCCTCAGAGCAAACTTTTTCAAGCCTAGGGCCTCAGATCCTCAGCTTCTGAGACTTTGAGCTGGGAGGCCGCGAGCCAGCCGCTGCAGCTCTTCAGAGGCGGAGCCTCGAGGCTTCTTCGAGGCTTCTCAGCCACCCTTCGGCCCTTCAGCTGCTCGCTTGCCCATCTCCATCTCAGTCCCGGGTCCCGAACCGGTACCCAGACATCCTTGGCAGGGTAGTAGCACTCCACCTCAAAGGCGAGTGACATGCCCAGCCGTATATAGCCCTAGTCCACAGGACATGTTACCGCTTTCCCGAGACCTGAGATTAGACATCGAGGTCTCCAGGCATTCCGCTCTTGACCTTCTGAACGTCTGAGACATGCACGCTGTCAAGTGGTCCATCTGCGCCGCGCCCTCGGCTCCAACTGCGCTGCAGGCACTGCTAAATGCACTTGCAAGGCTTTACCGTTCTACACCGTCTGATCAGTGACAGCGTAGGCCTCCTATTGCGTAGATCGCGTCGCCGCAGGCAACGGCTGCACAGACCTCTGCTCTTGTCTACATTTCTGCAGCGACCTCTTCGACAAGAACGAGCACAGACTCTTGGTTTTTGTTGATCTGTCTCTTGAGCATCGCTCTTCTGCCCGTGGGCCTGGGCTTCTGCCACTGTAACGGGCAAAGTGAACGGCGTGGACGGGGTTAGACAACCATCGGCTTTTTGCCATCCGGCTGGCCCCCGCTTGAGCTTGCACATGCTATGCTCGAAAGTTCCTCAACCTAGTCGCTGTCTCACTTTGTCGACAAGCCGAGGCAGCACCTCTCCGGCCCTGCCTTCGTGGACAAAGCAGCTCCAAACTCACACAAACATTACGCGAAGAATCCCGAGCCTTGCAAGAAAACATCGGCCTCACTGCCAAAATGCCACTCGAGCGCAAGGGAATGCAGCATTCGTTTTGCTAGGGCTTTGGCGCTCGAGGACCCTGAATGGTCCAGATTCAGAATTATCAGCCTCGCGAAATACACCGGATACAGGCAGACACGGATCCTGCCGAAGCGAAGAGCACTGAACTCTCTCTCTGGGGAGAGTACTTCCCCCAGCGCCACTTTACCAGTCCTGGTACCATATTCGCCGGCATTACCTTGCATTGTGTGCTGGAGAAACACTTGAAGGGCTAGGCTGCCTTCACTCACATGTGAGCGGGTTCGAGGAGGCGACGTTTAGGCCCGTCCCAACGACCAAGCAGACCGGCGAGCTGAGGACGGCCGTCCAGGAGCGTCCCAGGGCACCTGCAGGCAGGGCCTCCCCGAACATCCTTGGCTGCCACGAACGAAGCACTCAACCGCCACACTGCTAAGAGGCGAGGCTCGTGACATCCGGCTTCAGAACACCACCTGTCTCAGGATGCTTGGGGTACCAGTTGTCCTGAGCAGGTGCGCAGTTCGGATGCCGCGACTTCAGGATGGCTAGAGCGGATCGCAGCAATGCTCTGTTCCTCGCCACTGAAAAACACGGTGAGCGCAACAGAGACAGAGAGCGGGGGAGAGAGCGCACTCTGATTCTGAAGCTCACGGGTATCAAATCCAGTGCAGGGACGCGACGGTTGCAATGTCCGCACGCAGGCTGCCGTCCGGCTTCCCTTCGCGTGCCGCGACCCATTGGCCTAGCAACCGCAAAGGAAAAATGTGGAAGAAAACGAAGGGCGTGGGATCTGGAGCTTCGCTACCGAGCGGCGAAGGATCTCCGCTTGGGTTACCTGTAATACTGGTGGAAGGCAACACATGTGAGCGTGTGAATGGTGAACCTGGCCTGCTTCTTTGAAGACATGCATGTGGCCTTAGCAGTCAGGGACAGTGCTACATTCCAAACAAGCTCGAGCCATCGCCGCAATAGTTTGTGCAACAGGTGAACGAGGATGCCACCGTTGCCATGGTGCCATGGATTTCGATGACATTCTTGGAACCGGCTCTCTGGTGGAGCGAATCAATATTCCTCGCATGGCGTGAAACTGCGAAATTACGACTACCGATGACAAGTTCGACTGGTCTGATAAGCAGGACGGTGCAGCCAAGAGTCTGTGTTATGACCTTGGCTGTTCAGAACCCTAGGCAGCTTTGCCTCACATCCAACAACAAGCCGATCTACAGTAATTGCCGATGCGGGTTCCTGATTAGTATATGTATAGTATAATGGGGCCCGAAACCTACTCTAATTATTGAAAGCCAAGGCGCTGTCCGAAGTTTGCCTAGGTCTTCTAGCTCAACGAGAGCACGGTGGGCAGCATTTGGCTCGGCCTCTCGAAGCCCATCCTGACAAAAACCAGAGCTTTCATCTTCAGCGATACCTAGCACCTAAGAAGCATGAAATCCCAAAAAAATACTGGTGTGTTTTTGTGTCTTTTTAAATTTGTGCATGAATCTCCAGTGAAGGCTCCCGCAAGTGAGGAGCACCTCCATTGGCGAGGTGTACTTCAAGCGCAAGCTCTCTGCCCATCTGCCAGAACAGATGTGGACTTTCACCTCAACCGTCTCAGGCAGTCAGATGTGGCACATCTACTGAGCGAGTACGCTCACAGTCCATGCCAAGCAGGCCGCAGAAAGTGTTGTACTCGCAGTAGATCCCGGGATTGTATTTAGACCAAAGTCCACCTGCCACTTTAATCACAGGCTCGTCAAGGAGCAACCGTCGGAATCGAAAGGCAGCAACAAGCTTGACGCTTCCCCCAACTGCGAATGTTTTCTCAGAAAGCAGGCCGCTGAGGACTTCACAGAAATCGTCACACGACTACGGCTGTGCGGTCTTCATCGCTGTACTTGCAGCCATGTTGGTTCGTCCGTCGAGGCCGGCTGAGAAACGAGGTGAACCCCATTTGTGAGACTTTGTCCAAGACGCCTGCTTCATGCAGTCGTCCAAAGCGGGACACGTCCCGCACGAGAATGTAGAGAGACAGATATGTCGGATCGGTAACGACGGCATAGTCATACTTTCCGCCCAGTCGAGGTCCCAGCATCAGCACTATGTAGTTGGACTTGCGAAACGGCTCGGGTGCTTTGGGTGCAAGCCCTGGTGGACCAAGAGACACGTCGAAAACTCCCACGCGGTCAGGGCTTGGCACGGCAAACCCTTCTACGCTCACTCTATGTCCAAAAACCTGCACCGAGTTCACCAAAGAAATGGCACTACTGTTGGAGAGTGCTCCGTAGTCCACATAAACGCAATCGGCTCCGAGCTCTGTGGCATACTTTACGGAAAAGCTGCCATAAGTCTGATACCAGCGTCCCAGGAAAGCCGCCACGTCAAGCTTGTCTACCGGCGCTGGCTTCTCGCCGGCCGCGGCCACACTCCAGGCGAGGATCCAGGCACAGAAGTTCATGCTCTCTTCAACCCTGTCATCCGGCGTGCAATGAGAAGCACAAGCCCCTCGTCGAACCGAAACATCCACGGTTGAGACTGAGCAGCCGATGAGTGAGATAGATATGAAGAAGAAGAAGAAGCTTTCAACAAACCCGACAGAGCTGTCGACGAAAAACCATCAGAACACAAGGCAAAAACCTCGACCCGCGGCGCACAGGAAGCGGATTCTGGCCTGGAGATCTGAAGTCTGGAATGCCCGATTCCACCGAGATACCTGCGCCCGTGAAGGCGGTCATCGAGCCTGCTTAGATCCGAAATGCTGCAAGGAGGTAACATCAGCTTTGCCGCAGTCCTGCGGCTGCTATCGCATCAGCTGCTGCGTTTAACGACTCCTCCAGCGAGTATTTCTGCCTGCGGGGGTAGGCATTCACGCGTTCTCGGGCACAGCAGCAACTAGCTCACCAATGCCTCGTAGGATCTGTGACAACATGATCGGCAGTGCCAAAGATGTTCCCCATGGCACGGCTTTGGCCGGTGTCCCTGCGTCACAGAAGCCTATCCTGATCTGATGGGAAGGTAGTTCGGCTGGGTGTGCTCTGCTTCCTCCCTGTTCACTCAGTGAAGCCAAGCTCTGAAGCCCGAGAGGCTGCGGCTTCCGTTTCTAACAACTGCGAAGCATGTTCCTCCCCTCCCTTTCTCAGCTCGCGGCACAGCGTGGCTGCAACATGGGGGCTCGGGTCTCGCACTGCTTCGTAGCTGGGCCTCCACTCCACAACCCACGAAATGCAGCATTTTCCGATGTACGGACCGTTCTCAGAATGACCTTGGGCAGCTGCTGAAGCATTCTAACGTGCGCAAAGGCCGGTTCGACACGCTGCCAGCTCCTCCTCGAGCGAGTGGGCGCAGAAAGTGCGAAGCTTCATCAGCCATGCAAACCCTCTCGCACCTACCACGTAGATGGAAGCCGGGAATAAGCGATCCAACCTCAAGGTCGCCGATTCTCCCCTTCATGCCTTCCTGTAAAGTGGCGAGCAGATATCAGTTTGGGACTTAAGCTCCAGGCTCGGGAGTGCTCACAGCGATCCCTCGAGCAGCAGGTATCGATTGGCAGAACGAAGGCCTCCGCTCCAGAACAGATCTGGCGAGAAGACATAGCACAGCAAGGAAAGAACAAAGCGGACCCGCTGTAGTTGGCCACGGTCACTGCCAGCTCGGACGTTCTCAGGACCGCCTGCCAAACCCACATATTTGTTGTGGCTTTCGGCAAGCCTTCCTGTCCCGCCTCGAGTGTCGCCTGCGTCTGCGACATCGGGTGCCTCAGCCCGGTGAAGCGGTCTGGAACAACAGATCAAATCATGCTGAGCTTCCAAGCCGGCTGAGGACTCGGTCTAAGCGTCGCCGGTGCAAGCGGCTCAGGAATGCCTTCCGCCCAGGATGGACAGTGTGCTGCGGTGTGTTGTGGTGTGCTGCCACCCGCTGGACCTGTCCGCAGAGGATGCCGAGTGACTCGAGGCCTCGCAGATCAAGGGCAGATGATTTCCATTGGAACCCACCTTTCCGTACTGAGATCGTATGCTCTGTTCTGGTTTCCAGCTTTAGCACAATCATCGCAAACGGCTGAGAGGCAGGGCATTCGCGAAGCGCAGCATTCTCCTTCACAGTTGCCATCACATAGTTCTGAAAAAGCTTGCCGCTTTTTCCCAAGCCCTGGACCTCGCTGAGCTCAGACTGCCTGCAGCATCCGCAGAAGTGAGAAAGCCAAAGAAAGCACAATGGCCGCCGGCCTGCGGTGCAAAGCCTCCAAGCTCACGCGCTGCTGCTCCAGGGCACCCTGCAGGTCCTTAAGAACCGTCACCTTCGGAACTCTGGACGGAGCTCTGGCTAGCTGCTTGCTGGATCTCAGACAGCTGGGCTGGCCCCGTGGGGAAGAGCTCAGTGCATCGCTCAAGGACACTGCATCTACACCGCTGTGAAAACCCACTTCATGATTGATACTACAGTACTACAGTGCATCAAGACCCCAGGCTGGAAATCTTCGGCGCTGCAGCCAGCTACAAGGACGGACACGTGCAAAAGCTCGCCAGAGAGAGAGAGAGAGAGAGACGTCATGACCAGTCGCGCACTTCAGTTTATGTTGTCGAATCGTATTCGAGTTGCTCCGCACACGTTCGTCACTGCACATTCATTCGTGCTGCTGGGCGTTATGGCACAACCATCTTGACTGAGAGTTGTTCTGCTTGACAGCTCCTTGTACTGAAGCAGCTCCTTGTACTGAAGCAGGGGCGCTGGCCAACCTCCTCCCAGGCTTCTCGCGCTTCCTGAAACTTCTGCTGCCTGAGCAAAACGAGAGCTCTCCGTCACGGAAAGAGAAACGAGAGATAGAGAGCGAGCGAGAGAGAGAGAGAGAGAGCGAGAGAGCGAGAGAGAGAGAGAGAGAGAGAGAGCGCGAGAGAGAGAGAGAGAGAGAGAGAGAGAGAGAGAGAGAGAGAGAGAGAGAGAGAGAGAGCGAGCGAGCGAAAGGAAAGACAAAAAATGCAAGGAGCAGGTCAGCAGATGTAGACGGCAGGTGCTGCTGTCAGGATTGCTTTAACTTGGTCCTTGGCTTGTAGAGATCTGCACCTCGCTCCTCGCTTCACTTCGCGCTACTTTTCGCTTTGATACCACTCTGTGGAAGCCAAAGGCGACAGAAAAGAGCCTTCACGGCGATGGACTGCTGCACCTTGTCAGCCTCGTTCATCTCCGTCTCACCATCCTCGAACCAAGGAAGAGGCTCGTTCGTTCATGCCCTGAGTGCCGTCATTTGCACCTCCGCGGCCATGGCTCGTAGAGCTGACTCTACATGCTACAACATCTACAACAAGCTACCACTCAAGCTACCTCTGAATGCCGCGATTTTCAGACGCTCACAGACTGCATGCAGGTCATGCAGGTGTGGAGGGGAGGCCAAGTGTTCTTAGGAATCGTGACCGCTTCTCCTTGAGACTGAAAGCACACTGCAGGTCAGTACATCTACAAGCAAACCCTCTGTCTCTCTCTGTCTCTCTCTCTCTCTCTCGATGCCTGCAAGCTTCTGCGTGTCGCAGCTCTTCGCGGCCTCCTCAACTCAATTGGGGGTCTCCCACTGGCGAGATGCCCCTTAGCAGGTGTGGTTTGCTGGTCCTGTCCGAGGGTGGAACGGAGCAGACTCGATCAAAACCTTCTTTTTAAGCATGCAGAGTGGCTTCTGCACATTTTGCAGCTTCGAGCCACTGTGAAACGTGCGACGAAGGCTCCCCCGATGCTGCACCGCAGGGGTTTGATTGGCAACATGGCACAACGGAAGTCACTGTGGAACCATGGTCGCTGCACAGGAGCAGCTGAGCAGCGTTCGCTGACACGAGCTCGTTCCCGTCGAATTCGAGCTGGCAAGAATGCAGGTTGTGCTATGTATCTACATTTTCCAGCTCTACTTGGCTGAAAACAAATCACCGGAATTCAAAGTTGCCCTCAGGAAGCGTGCCAAGCTGAGATGCGTCACCTGAGCCAAAAAGCACCGTCTGTCGCATGATCTGTAGATACCCCCTTGACACCCTCCGCAAGCCGAAAGTCGAAGACCAAGCCTGGGCGGCGCCGGCGTTTGCATCCAGCAGCTGGATCATGACATCCAGGATCGCCTCGGAAGCAAGAGCGAAAGAGCGAAACTAGTGCTACAGCTACAGCAGACACAGGTTCTTCGGCTCGGCTCGGCCTGCACTGGCTCGGACTTCAGCAAAGCTGGGACTTGCCCCTCGGGCTCCCCCTGAGCGCAAAGCACCAGAGCGCTGCAAGTTCAGGTGCCGAACGGGTCTGAGAAGCACCTCTGCCGCCATCTCCTTGAGCAGCTCTTGCAGCGAATCATCCAGCCTGCCGGCTCTGGTTCTGCTCTCTCCCGAGACAGAAAGAACTCCTTTTCCCGGCAGGTGCCTTGCATCGGCTTCTTCGGGATCGGCCGCAACCTGACCGCGCAGAACGCGGGCGACCTGCCGAGATGAGAGACTTGCAGCACGTGACCTTGGACAATATTGGCGTGTGCTAACCGCATGACATCGCATGACGCCACACCTATTTCCACAGAGCACAGGAAAAACTGCAACACTGGGTCTTGTCAAGCAGGGCTTGGCTCACTCTCCGGGCTGCGGCGAGGCTTTGTCAGCCGCTGCCAGAAGCCGAGTGGGCAGGCTGAACCACTACTCAACTCCCTACCACTCTCACTTCCCCACTTCCATCTGTTGCCAGGTCAAGAACAGTACAGCCGTGCCTGTCGATGGACATTGAACCCTCTGATGCCTCTGCTTGATGCTCCAATCTTGCTCCGAGAGACTGCAAGCCAGTGGCTCGACCGGCATTCCTCAGCGACTGACGAGCATGTCGACGAAAACTTAGGAAAACACTGCCCATGAAGAAGGCAAATACTTGTGACAGTTGTCTTGCACCGGATGGATCGGATAGGATTTGAAACCTGTTGCCGCAAAGCTTCGCGTTGGCAGCATTTACAAAGAGTGTTCCATTCCTGAAGAGGCCAGCTACAAGTGTGGCATCACGACAAAACATCTCTTCGCCTGTGTTTATGTCCATGCCCTTCGTGCACATGACCGAAGAGATGGACGCGAGGAAGTGTTCTCCTTCACTGTCCCCAGCTGTGGCTCGCGCTCAGAATGGACACGGCCACGGTTCGGATGCATCCTGACATCGCGCCTTCCAACACTCCTCCGCCTCTGAGCCAGTCTGCCTAATGCTCGCTTCAACCTGAGACGATGCAAACAGAACCCGAAGGCATCGGAACTTGTTTTACGCAAGCGGCCTCTGCGATCCAATGTTGGTAACTCTGGTGCTGGATGCGGATGCATAGTCCAGCATCCCATGCGGCGGCTCATGCCTGTCATTTTGTGCTCAGCCCTGCTCCCGCTGCACTGCCTTATCACTCCCTTTCAGGAAGCCGAGAGAAACTCGCAGAAGCGGCGAGATGAGAAGATCGACTCCGTCAGGAATCTGCATGGACATCGCGTCCTGATACCAACCTGAAAACTGCAGCGTCGGCGGATCCGTTAAAGTTGGCAACACCCGTTAGTCAAGGTACCGTCTGAGTCGTAGGGCACTCCGTAGACCTTCAGGCCACCACATGTGCGAGAGCCACGGAGGTAGCAGCCACCGAGAGCGTCGCGCCACCTCATGCTCGGATTTCAGACGCATCTTAAGCCGGCTCAGCCCAGAAGAATGAAACCGAGCTCTCCACGCTCGGCCCTTCTCGTGATTCCCCTTGACGAAGATCTTGTGCCGAAAAGGCAGTGCCATAAACCAGTTGACGAAATCTCGGCCAACAAGATCTAGAATCTACATCGGGAGAGGGTGACCGTGTCTACTATATCAAGAACAAGTAATCAGAACATGCAATAACCATGGGAATGATGTGAGTTTCTCAAGCCAAGGCAACCTCGGAAGCTCGGCTGCCATGAAACGCCATCGCACTGCGCATCTCCGCAGTGTATCAGAATGTCCTTGATAGTTCAAATTCCACCAAACTTCATCTCGAACTTCACAGCTGCGTACCTTGTCGTGCCAAGTGTCGCCCGCAGGAACCTTTAGTCGACGGTGGAAGCCATGCGTATCGCTCATCGCGACCACCCTCACAGCCGAGTGCCACTTGGACGAACCCGGTCCTTTTGCCGGGACGTATCACGTGCGTGGTAGCAGTAGCATGCATCGTCTCAGTAGCGGTAGCACGGCTGCAGGCAGTCCTTCTGGACTGACACACGCACGTCGCTTCGATCGCCCGCTGCAGCTGCGCACACCGTACAGGAGTGTTGCTAGCATGGCTCCAGGACAGCTTCGTCGCTCCTTAAAGTCTGTCCGCTGCGCCGATCCACACTTCATGCCAAGCATTTCTGTGAGTCCTAACCTGCCAAGCGACAGCCCCATTCAGCCTCGTGCGGCTTTTCAGGTTGCTCGGACCACTAGGAGAGGCAGCACACCGCGGAGTGGTGAGGGCGAAGGCCAACGCGTTGTCCATGGCGGCTCGTGGCAGCCAAGGGCTACTCTCAGTTGCTCTTCTGCGGCTCCTGCCGCTCTTGCAAAGGGCCCTATAGGGCGGCTAGACCTAGTAGATCATGGAAAGTCTGTAACTTTCCGCCATGCGAAAACCATTCTTCAGCTTTGGCTCAAACCGCGATGCTCATCAGAGGGGTATAAGAGTAAGAGCAAAGTCTCTGCGGTGACACGTGTGACGGACGGCGCCTCGCGGAGCTGGTGCTCCAGGTACTTCGAGGCGACGGCCACCGCCGGCCTGGCACTCAGAGTGGAAGCGCCCCCACCCCGCATACCCCGCCCCTTGGAGTCTGCATCGAATCGAAGCGAAGCGCCTGCAGTGCTCCAGGTCTTGGGCCAGGCGGTCAGACAGCTGCCGCACCGTCGCCAAGTGCACGGTCTTTGAACCTGCTGAAGCTTGCGCATTATCATCCAGATTTCGTGCAGACACGATTGGGGCAAGCACGTGCCACTAGTGGTTGACTGTTGGCAGGTTCAGTTCCTTCTGCATCCTTGCACACGAGGCAGGCAAAAGCTTTTGCCGATTGCCAAGACATGATGTGAAGTTGTGATGCCAAGGGCTCCGCAAAGGCGCAAGCAAAGGCAAGCAGAGACAAACACCTCCAAACGACACAGACTGACAGCCATCACGAGAGCCTAGCAAGACAGCTGGGCAGGCGGCTCCGAAGGGGGCGGCCCTGACTGTGATGGCTCACCAGCCTTCATGCGACGACGAGAAGTGGAAGCCGGGCAGCCCCCGACCAAAGTCGAGTTCGAGGCCCTGACAGCGGCCGTCGCCTGGAGCTCTGGCTGCGACCAGCGCACAAAAATTGTGCCACCAACAGGAACCTCAAGCATCCGCTTGAGGCATCAGTCAGGGAAGGGCAAAGAATCTCGGAAGTCCGAATGTTCAAACAACGTGCCTCTGATGGAGACTCCAGCAGCTGCAAGGTGCTCTCGTCCAACACCCGTGCTTTGAAGTATGCCTGGCAAGTCAGCTTGCAGTCCCCGTGACCACATCTCGCTGTACACAGGCGAACTCGGGGAAACTACACCGAAGCACCTCACAGCACTGCGAAAGCGCTATATGCAGCTGGTCCTCAAAAGACGTGCACAAACCGGCCGAGAGTGAAGCAGTCAGCGTGCTGGCCGCCGAGTGGGGGCCGGACGGTCAGGAGTCTCATGTCCATGAACAAGCCCCCGAACAGGTCACACTCGCGGCGCAAAGCCATGGTGTGCCTCATGACACGGAGCCGGTTGCCGGTAAGTAATCTCAAGAGCGGCGTGGTTACGAGCCCACCTGATCAAGGATCTGTACAGAATCCTGAGCTTGAAGAAGCGTTGGTTCAAGATTCGCGTGAACAAAGTCGCAGCTGCTAAGACCCCGAAACGCTTTTGCAGCTCTGCTTCTGCTTCTTGGCAGCTTCCAAAGCGGAACTGCCTCGGCATGCGAGCCCTGGCGAACACAGGGCATGTTTCTCGTTGTGGTATCACAAACCCTGTTCAACTCGGACCCGGGCTGTATGCCACCGCGCCCTCTGCTGCCTGCAACATGGCGCTTGAAGTAACCGTGGGATCTGCATGCTAGTGCTCTTATCATCCCCAGCTTCGTCACATCGCAAGCAATCAGCAAAAAGGCTAGGAAGCAAGGGCTGCGGGTGACTCTCTGCATGCTAAAAGCTCCCATGACAGGTAGTATCCGAGTGCCAGATGCACCTGGCGCTGCAGATGTCGCTGCAGATCCAACCCGATCTCAGAGGAGAGGGGTTAACCAAGGCC